CTTTTTAGATACGTTTTATTTCATATATTTAATATGAAAATATACATCAAATCTATTACACTGACACTAAAACTAATAATTATAAACATTTTTTTTTATATAAGGAAATTACAAATCGTATAAAGTTAAACTTTGGAAGGAAGGAAGGAATAAATTTTGTGATTATAGATACTCTGTTTTGTTTCATTAAATATTTAATACGCTTTAATTGGCTTTCCTTGTAACTTACTAAACATATCTGAACTGAAACACATCTTTAACAAATATTCAAATTTTATTTCTACTTTTCGTATTGAAATAAAATGTTTTATATAGATATGTGTGCGGATAACATAACAATATTATGACTTCACATATTAGACTTGATCTGAGTATAAATCTCGAAAGTGGATAGTGAACCTTTTCAGTGACTTCTAACAATTCCCTCGAGTTTTGAAAACTCAAACAACAACAACAGATTAGGTTTAGCAACATTAGTCTGATAAAAAAGTCAGGAGATAGGTACATATTTTAACTCTTTTTTACTTAGTTCACCATTAAAACCTGTTCTTTAATTTAACTAAATTGTAGTTTTTTAATATAACTTACGTCAGTAATAATAAATTAACTAACGTAATTTATCTCAAGTGATGAATTTAAAAATATCTTAAAATGAAACAATAGTGAGATTTTTCGCTCTATTAATTTACTTCATAAAAACAAAGTCTGCATTATTAATTATAAATTGAGACACCACAAGTATTTGTAATGAATAGGAATCGAACAAACGACTTCTGGTTTGCCAATCAGGATGTCTACACTAAGCAAAGTTACGTAGAGGACTCAATACTAGTCAATACACATTTGAATTAGTGAATTATTCCTTCTAAAGAACGTTCCTACAACACTACATACTACTGCATCTATTACATCTGTGAGAGTTGTCTAGCAATTTAATTGTTTAGTACGACACACGTGGATGCTGCACACAAAAGTAAAATCATTTATAACTTTTAATTCCTATAGCAAAATGTAGTCCATAATTCTACAAAGTCATAAAGAATTCTTGGCACTTTTAAACTTTCGCGTTCTAATTATAATTATACCGTGTGGTGACGGATTAAGAATACGGAATGTCATCACCCCTATTCATCCCGTGGGTGTCGTAAGAGGCAACTAAGCCAACGAACTGCGCAGGACAACAGCACTGCAAAGAGAAGGAGAACTTGAAACAACCCCTATAGATACCAACCCGTCTGGCCAGCGTGGTATAGTAGGCCAAACCCTCCTTTCTAAGGAGAGGCCTATGTCCAGCAGTGGACTAGTAGTGGCTGTTGATGATGATGATGATGGTGTTCTAATTATGTGTAAGTACGGTTTTCAAAATTAACGCAGTCACATATACTCGAATGTTTGAATTGCTTGACGTTTCGACTAGGTTACACTAGACGTGGTCACAGGCTGGCTTGCTCAGTGATATTTAATATCAATTAAGAGGTATGTAATGACTACGCCGTTAAGAGTAAATACATTAAGAGCCGTACGTTGACTGTCTATGATGATTCAAGACAGTTTGGTTCTACAAAGAAAAACAATAAAATTCTTTAAAACACTTACTCTTCGGACGTTAAGTTCTTCAGCCAGGTTGCAACCTTATCTGGTAGAAGCAGATTCCTGAAAACAGACACTAAAATATTACGTGATCGCAATAATTCCTATAGATATACATACTAATCCTCAAATTTCTTTAAAATCATTCAGGACCTGTTTAATTCTGAATGCTGGTATGGTCCGTTTTAAAACTTTACGTAATTCATTTTGTTCACTTAACCTATTTTGCACCCGATTTTTATAAAGTTATGTTGAATTTCGGCTACGATCAAGGGTGTTTTATGAAAACAACATCATAATGCAGAAAAAAACAATCTACAATTCTCATTACTCTTGATGTAAGAAAGTGGAATCGTGACATCTCTCTGCTCATAACTGATTACCCGCTGAAACCACAACTTTCATAATTTGTAATGCAAATGTAAGATATAAATATTATACAAGAAAACTAAAATAATACAGAAGAAATTCAATATGAAATGCTTTATCGCACATTACACACTCCAAAATTAAAACTATTAACTTTTTATTTACATATAAAGCTCTGCCAGCTTAAAGCGATGGCCGTTACCCACTGATAACATTTTAATAAGCAAAACCAGCAGACGTAGTTCGATTTAAATTACTTCGAAAGATTCTCGTGAAAATTATATAAAACCCTTTTTCATTGCTTTTTACATGCACAGTAAAACTTGCTTGTTTGAAAATTGAAAATTAAAAGCAATATTGCCTGGAGAAATAATACGTGCAATGCATGGACTCTTTTCGATAAATAAAATGGTTCATGTAACGCCGTTAGCGTATATATTCCTCAATATACATTCATCCCGGTCGGTGTTTTTAACAGCTGAACATTGTTATGCCAAGATATGTTCTTTGAAAGTATATTTTGTCAAACGTCATAGTAATATGTACCATATGTGTGCACAAAAAAGGCGAATCTTCTAGATACTTCTTAAAGAACGAAAAAACAATGCGTTGACTACAAAGTCTTAAAATATAAAACAGTCAAGTCAATTTATAAATCTTTGCACTTACTAAGTGATAAATATGGGTCCTTACTCACGCACAAAACAGAACCAGTTCGCCTTCTAAATATATTATACTTTATTAAATATAAGTATTTGTGGAGCAATCACGGATTGACAACCATCTCTAGTTTCGTTACCGTGTAATGAGTGGCGCTATCGTATATTGTTACTGGATAACTAGCTAAATATGCGCTTTACTAGATGATATCCAACACTTTGTAATGAATTGTGTGAAATACTAGAACCAAAGATAATTAGGTCCGGTTGCAAAAATTAAATATGTTTTAGAATGGACTTTATTAAACTTGTAGCTAAATTTCATATTTTCATTACATATTTTACACTTTATGTTTTACAATGTCCGCTATGGAGAGGTCCCCGTAAGAAGACTGTAGAGGGCTAATACAGTCCCATCCAGAACAATATGCCGAAGAGTGAATAATAATATTGTGGATGTCAATAAGCGCTGGCCTGGGAATAATGAGTTAGGCTGCCGTATAGTTATCGTAGCAGAAGCAAGCCTGAGTTGTGCGATGTGTTCCAGCTATTGTTAAAGATGCATTCGAAGTCCGTCAGGGTTCTCGGGGTCTTCCTTCCTAGGGCTTACCTATACGTACAAAACACTTACATATAACGGAGCACCGTATGGTTTTAGTCGTTTTGATACCTACCGACCATACCACTTCAACAGTAGCCTAAATGACGTGATGACCTTGTTTTTGTAAATGTACTGTGGTGTATCCTTTGGTGTATTCTAAAGTTCTTTAAGAGTTGCTTCATAAGTTCGTGTGTCTACTTAACCTCTTTTAATGCTACCAACTAATAATGGCCATTGTGAGAATTTGATTTTATCGTATTCGTAAAATTCTTAATTTGAAAATACAATTAAGTTTATAGTTGCGATAAAATATAAAAATTGCAAAACTTTTGCAGATTAGGTATTTTATTTTGGAAGTTAATCGAGCGATAGTGGGTAATGTTGGAACATGGTATCCCTATAGGATCACTTGGTTGTCCATTTGTCTGCCAAGGCGTTTTTAATAAGGAACGCGTGGAGGTATCACGTTGTTTTTTTTTTATGGAATAGGGGACAAAGTAGCGCATTTATGTTGGTCAGCGACATCTGCTGCCAATGGACACACACAACTCAAGAGTCTCAAAAGCATTCCCGTCTTTTGAGAACCCTTTCGCCCCAAAATTAGTGAAACTGGTGGGTTTGGGCTTTGACCGTGGTATCACATCGGTCGAACCGGCACAAGTATATCGAGTATTGGCTCTCCCACGGTAGTTATTGACAAATATTGCAATCTCTTAAAGCAGTAAAAAAGATTCTAAGTATATTATAATAAGCTTTATACTTTTTTTAACCCAAAATAAACAATTTATTTTAACTATCTATCTACAAAAAAAAAATATAATGCAATTAAAATATTTATACTTTTTAACATTGCGCACGTAAATCATAACATACAGGGTTCTACTTAGTGAATTACAATCAAGAAAATAATTCTGCCAAACGTTCCAATAAAAACAAAAGAAGTTAATTTATTGATGTACCACTTCGCTTGTTTTTGTAATTCAACAAGAGAGTAATTTGAAAATAAAAAAAAAATACAATCAATGTCGCATTACTCGTATTATACTTAAATTGGCCTGGAATTGTTTTTTTCTCTAGATAAAAGAGTATTTTTAAATCCCTTTGGTAAATACAAGTGAGCCTTTGAGTTTTGTCACTTTTTGTAAAACTTATATATGCTTGAAACATTTACTGTGACATAAGTGTTGATGATTTGATGTTGATATTTGATAGAATATTTTTAAATTAGTAAGGTAAGGAAAGAGCTGGTAAAAGTGTGGAAGTCAGGTTTGTCCTTGTCCTGTTCATTTTAAATACATCATTTCAGAGTCACTTCAATTCATAAGTCATCAAAAATGATTTACTAAAAGGTAAGGTAAAGCCGGTAAGAGTTTCATTTTTTAAACTGACTTCATTAAATGTAATCTTTTTTCAAAGATGAACAACCATTAAAAATTGTTCAATAAGATTTAAAAAAAGAATTCTTTTAGTGGTCTTAATTACAACAAGTCTATAGATCTAGTTTCAACAAGTCTCAGTCAGATCTAATGAAATAAGTAGTAATTATTTCTAAAGATACCGTTATTTTATAAATAGAAAATATTTATGAATAAGAGGGTCCGACTGTGTCTTACGTATTTACAAATTCGCCTTGGGCATTTCATAAACTTAGTAACAATCATTCCGAAGAGGGGATTACATATTTAGTATGGATTGAATCACTTAAAGTAAACTGATGTTTGATGGTACGCTGCATCGCGCCCCAGGGCTGAACTCATGGGCGGATGTGGACGTATCACCAATTACATGCATATGGTACACACAATATTGGCAGACACGCATAAAGTTTTGTTGCAGCGCGGAAGCGGCGCGGTACGTGCAGCACGGCAGCCGGCCCGACACGCGCGGGGCTCGACCGATCGCTCAGCGCCACCGATGAATGACCATTCGACTCGAGCCCGCCGAGCGCACCGCACGTGATTCGCGTTCGCTCCCCACAGCGAAACTTTACTCGTTCGTACCATTGTGAATGAAGTGTTGTTTTGACTGATCAAAACATTTTACATACCGATACTTTTATAAGACAGTTTTGGTTTTGTGTTGTTTGATTTTGGTTTTTTTTTTGTGATCACACATTGGAGGGGATCAATTTATTTACAATACTGTCGTCTGTTTACGGTGAGTACCAGTTGAATTTTAATTTATTTATGTGTAGCGTACAGCTGATTTATACGACAAGAGGAGATCGTGCCGTGGACTGAATTCTGCGAAGGTCGTAGTCGGTAGCGAGCAACTTGATTTCTATGTTATTAATCGTATTGGGTCATTCAGGCATCAATGATTTCTAGTTTACCTACAATAGATTTTGATTAATATCGTGAATTAATGTAAAAAGTTGTAACCATTATTTACCTTCTAAATACTTAACTAGCCCAAGCCTTTCTATAGCAAACAAATGACATAATTACTAATGTTATTAAGCGAACTACCTACAATCTAACATATTTCAGTAATTGATCATATCATCCAAAATCACTTGTTAGACAAAGGTTGACATAAAATACTTATGGAACCATTAAATAACGATAAACTGTTATAATACTTAAAGGTATGGCGACGTATATTTCTTTTTTCTTGTAATTTACGTATTTTACCTCTTCATTTATTATTAAAACAAAAACTAAATAAAATAGCTCAGAAGTAGTTTTTTACTATACCTAGATTAAAAGCGTGCGTTGAAGTCTTTTACAAGCAAAATGACAACATTAGCAATTATATAAAAAAATCATATGGACCAAAGTAAATAGTATTGCATCAAAACAAACAAGCATACAAACATAAAACTTATGTTAGAAATAACTCTTATAAGATACTTTTTTGTATGTACTCGAAAGAGTATATCTAGAGCACTAATACCTAGTATCCGTATTGGATTAAAACTAACATAAATATTGTTATCTTTAGTAGTGAGCTCACTTTAAACATCAATTTACTGTCCTCGCTTTGAAACATTGAACATTTTATTTCAACTTCATTTCACTTGCAATGTTTGTTAGATAAAACAACTGAAGAGCATAGTCAAAACTATTTAGCATTCAAGATATGAGACATGCTTAAATATGGTAGGTTGCCATTCCGTAACAATTCGCTTTATTTAGATTCCACAATTCAGTCCTTTTGATCTTATTTAGAGGAATCACTATAAACACGCGACAGTAAATAGATTTGCTACACGAATACTCTTACTGCTGGAACTAATGTACGTATTTACACATCCGTACAAATAATATAAAGTCAGATATTCATCTCCTGTTAATACTTACACAATATAATTTATGTAGAAAAACTATAATTGTTCAAATAAATTTTCTTAGTGAGCACAATATTTATGATAGTCACACCTAAATTACATCTTAATCACAATTTTCAATTTTAGGCAATAACAAAATATCACTTACAGCCTTATCAGAGCATCGTAAGGATGAACCATTTGAACGCCATTGTCACATATGACAAATAAATTTAAAGTTAAAAAAAAAGGTGAAGTGATTTTTTTGTGTTATGTTGCATCGTATTCTTATCTTATACGTATTTTTTTTTAAAGACAACTGCTCTAGGAATATAAACTATGTCGCGAGGGAATTTGACAATGACTTTTAAAAGATTGTCAGATCGTTCAATATTCTACAAAAGAATAACAAGCACCTCCAGATAAGCTATACGGCACTAAATATGTATTAGCAAACGGTGACCTGTTTTCGACGATACGTATCATGACGACTATTGTAAACAATGTTCAGTCATCCTTTTCTGACATGCTGAGCACAGAGCATATGCCACTGTTACTACTTCACAACTGTTAATGCATGTCACTCAAAATTGTGTAACACGATTACCGGGCTTAGTTTAAAACAAATACACCTTGATGATCTAAGCCTTTTAACATAAATTCATCAACACAGTGGAATAAATTAAAATTATTATTAGAAATGTATAATATTTTACATTTATGCGATACTTGATGATAATTTATCTAGTATTAAGCGATAATTTGATTAATCATGTTCTACACAATTCTTAAGCCATAATTTCTATCGACAGCGTAATTTTTAAACCTTAGTCATTTGTTTACAGAGGTTTAAACTTCGAACCTTAGATACTAAACTCTTTGGAAACTTGATGGCCAACACTTTAATAATGTGTAAAGGAGTATTATATAGTAAGCATGCAAACTTTAGCAGAAAATTAATAAAATAATAATGCATTTGTATTCAAACGTAGAATAAATAACAGTATTTTCGTATCAAGTTAATTGCCAGCTACAATGCGGAATTATATATACGCAATGTGGGTGTGTGATACACATATGGTTTTCTTTCATGCTATAAGGTAATATAGGGGTTAATTCCCTTTACTAATGTACAAAGATAATAAAATAAAAATTCCGTGGGGCTAAAGAAAAATATTTGAATTAAGAATTATAATCGTATGTGTGTAATAGTATGACAAATGGAAGCTTTTGTGAAAAAAAGTCTTATATTATGTGTATTATTAATCATCACAAGCTATTTTTATTGTCTAAATGTATCATTAAACTGATGTGATAAAGTGTGTTTATAAATTCTGTCATGATTCCAAGTATTTTCTTTGAATAATGACATTATTGACAAACATGCCGTAGTTACCGGTAACTAAGTCCCTAGTTTATTTATCAAACAACGATAAATTTTCTTACACTCATTTACTACATTTAACCACTTTAACGAAAGGCAATTAATTGTCATTATTAATCAATAGAAACACAATTATTTGATGACCTCTATGGCTGTAAAAGAGCACTTCCAGTGTCTTTCACAAAGAGCTTGGTATCAAATATACCTATGCTGCGTTTCTACCAAAAATCACTTAACACTTTCCTGTTACCAGAACTGTCACTTCTCAGTACTATACAAATGGCGGTATTACTTCTGTCTCTTCGTCTCATAGTTTGCGTTACCGTCGAATGTTACTAGCGTCTGTCAACTTATAGATGAGAAACTCCGACAGGTGTTGGTAAGTTTTGTCATTTCTAAATGACTTGACACAAATAATCCTATACGCCAATAGATTAGGAAAGTGGCAGTGCAGATAGTAAAATAAACTGACGATGCTATATAATTCTTATTTTATCTTTGTATATCTATAGCCATAAATTGATTATTTATTCAGCACTACCTAAAAAGTACTTGGTAAAATTACACACGCACTCACTAAACACATAAGTGATTATCCTTAAATGTTAAGAGGTACATTTCGGGAATAGTGTATGTGAAATCGCTGTAACGGCAACACCATATTTGTACGCTCATTAAGCTTGACTTTAGTACTGTGTTTATTAACTGTTTAGTAACTAAACACATAGTTTTCATATATTTATGTTGTTGGTATCGGCAAATATTGGCCTTATGTTTGCAAGTCGCAATTTCAACTTATATAATAAGCATTAGACGACCGGATGGCGTAGTGGTTTCTGTAACGGACTGCTATTCCAAAGGTCGCGGGTTCGATTCCCGCTCAAGTCAAACATTTGTGTGCCTGAACATTTAATGTTTGATTTGGTCTGGGTGTTTCTATGTATAATATGTATGTATTTACAAAAAAAAAAGTATATATGTATTTATATCAGTTGTCTAGTAACCATAGTACAAGCTCTGCTTAGTTTGGGACTAGATGGCGTTGTATGAATGTGGTACAATATTATTATTATTTATTATTATTATTATTAATGCCACTGCATAATACATGTTTGCAGTTACACAAACTGTTAATCTAGTTATAGGGATAAGATTATTTTATCAAATTTATATAAGGTCTCTACTGAGACTCATGCAGTGCTCGGATCTAGTTTCAGTCCTACAAAATGCTACCTTCGTTATAGTACAAGAAATGTGAGCATGTGCCATAAAACGAAAAAAAACCTCGATATGTTAGAAAGTTAAAACTATGTATTATTGACCCTATTTTTATTACTACTTTATGTTAATTACGTATAAGTACAAGTCACATAAGCACGAGTGTATAAAATAATTACCTATTGTGTACTGTGAAATTCTGATAAATGAATTGTTGTACTATTGTTTCATAGGGGAGTAAGCCACTACACCGGATTTGTGCTACACTTCTTTATGTGCACCATGGCACAGTGACCAAACATACAAAAAATAATTAGCGTTTAAGAGGTTTTATAAACTTTGCCTGCTGCGAATAATTACCCACTTCATTATTTTTTAATTTTAAGACAGTGTCTTAAAGAGTATGAAATATCATATAATCTAAAGCTATCTATACATTCTTTCTACGTATGTAACGCATATTTAAGAACAAAATTAATATTTGCTTTGGTGTAAATTTTGCATGATCATACGGCTTTCCACTAAACTATGTCTAAAATTGTAGACTCAAGTTTCACAAGTTACACAAAGTTACTTTAAAAAAGTTTTCGAACAGGAATTTGTGCTGAGCGGGCAAACAGACAAACAAGAAAGCGATTCAATGCAGACCGAGTAAAAAATGTCTCTGTTCTCGCGCGTGTTTATGCGCATGGCCTCAGTGTTTAGTAGGATTCTTGCCGGACACAATAGCTTCTACAATGAAGACAGTAATGTAAACTTTACGTACGTGCCGCCGGCGTATAATCACGGATTAGGTTACAGAAACTAAGCAGATAAATGAAAATACTAACGTTGTTCGGTCGGCACTGTAAATTGAGTAAACACACGGTGGGGAGATGCGGCATTTTACCTTCAACATAATAGATAGAAGAATATTTAATGTAGTAAAACTACAAAGACCGTAATAAAACATCTTAAATAAATGTATGGTTTTAAAGGAATTTAAATTCATTATAATTAATTGTCTATGTGTTAAGGTTTTAATTATTAATGTATACTAATACAAAGCTCAGAAGAGTTTATAATTATGCTTATGTTAGCTTAAACGAACTATTCTCAGCGAGATCGGACCAGCACATCATAAGGTCGAAGTC